TGTTGGACCAATTTAATCACACATGAATTAAGGCTTCATTGGCCAAATAATTGATATGATTAAATTGGATTATGTGAATAAGAAATGGGCCATTAGGCTCATTGAAAATCCATAACAAGTTTTAAGAGATTAAAGATATACCCAACCAAACCAAATTTAAAATCATATATGGTTTTGGGATTGGAGATTTGAGATTTGCTAAAAAGATTATAAGCCTAATACTTGTAATCGTTAGTGCCAAATTAATCAAAAAAGGTGATAATCATATTGATTAAACAATCACAAAATATCTTCTCAAAAAACTTTGAATTCAAAAACGTGGCCATTAAAAATAACACTAAAATAGTGTTGAATTTTTGCATCAAAAATAACACTAAAATAGTTGCTTATTTATTTTGCATCAAAATGGTATAACACTAAAATAGTGTTGAATTTTTCTCCAATGTATTACACTATTTTTTACATCAAAAAAAATATTTTGAGCAAATTCATTTTCTCAATTCTTTAAAATTTACGAATTAACCCCACTTATTTTTTTAAATTTAAAAAATTATGAAATAATTTCAATTTAACATGTATTATATAAAAAAATATATTGCAACATATAAAATAACAAAATATAATAACGTTTGTTTAATTATCACCAAACATATTAGATTTTGGGTCTTAACCATCATAATTTTATTTGTTTTTTATTAATTTTAAAGTTGATTAAAATTTGAAAAAGAAATTTATAAATAAAAAATTCAGCACCAAAATGGTGTTGGGTTGGAGAAGATTTTGTACAAAAATGAGATTTGGTGTCGGATTTGGTGTTGGATTGGAGATGCTCTAGCAAAATAAATAAGCAACTAATAATAATATTGTTGTCTACTAATCAAATGTGCTTTAGGTTAACTATATAGGTTTATGAAGTAAAATATGCTATTGAGAATGTTTTGAAAACCGGATTCAGTCTATGCTACCAGTTCGACCGGGTAGTTCAAAACAACATTTAGAGCTTACGATTTTATCAAGTCGGCGATAAACAACAAAATTCTAATATTCAGTTCTCAGTTTTTCTACGGGCCAAAAATTATGACCATCAATTGAATTAATAACATATATATATGGGCCTCAAGATTTTAGTTTATACTGTATGAAAGACCCACTAAAGGTATATATCACACATACATACTCAACTACATGAAATATACAAAACTTCAATCACCATTTTCTTCACGGAAACAAAATTTCATTCGAGTCTCATTGGCGGATTCTGACTAAAGGGTTGAAGAATGAAGAATCCTAATGTGGACAAAATCTTTCTTTATATTTTCGAAGACTGTATGACGATGTTTATACCATCTCGGTTATTGCAAAATCAATATTTACAAAACACATAAAAAAATATATATATTTGTATGATAAATCCAACAAATAAATACGTAACCTTAAAACCATCCTGAAGGAAACAGCTTTCTTCTCTAATTCCGCCGTCTTTCACTCTCCATCTCTCTTCCGTCGTTTCCTAAGCCCTTTTTTGTTCTCTTCTCAGATTCTCTCTTTTCAGATCTTCTCTCTTTTTCATCCT